TGTGGCGGTAATGACCGGTCCAGCCCATGGACAACAGACAGCACGAGGGTCCTTAGCATTGTGCCCCGCACAGAGGGCGCGGGGTCACGGGACCAGAGGGCCCGCAGGGGACGGCACCGTGCCCTCGGCCCGCAGAGCCCTGGCCGCCCGCAGCCCGGGTACTGGAGCTTTGTTCTGAAGGCTGACGGGCGTGGGGAAGGGGCCTGGTCCGCCGCCTAGCCCCGGAGGAAGAAGGCGGCCGGCCCTCCCCGGTGGCGCAGCGGGTCAGAGCGCAGCACTGTGAAGCTGTCGCGGCCCCCCCACCCCCGGCCAGGGAGGGACCCCAGGGCGCAGCAGACCGCTCCTGTCTCCCTGCTGCTCCCCTCGGCAGTGGACTTCAGTCCATCCGCCTGGTCTGCTCCCCGCTCTGTCTCTGGTGACTCCTCTCCCCCACCACCTCCGGCCTGTACCCCAGTTCCTGTACGCATCAATAAATAAATCTTAAAATGAGGAAGGCGGCTTTCTCCACAGTAGCCCCAGGCCGCCTGAGGGGCCGGTGCTTTCTGGGGGACAGTCCAGCAGCGCCGAGGAGCTGCGACAGGAGCCGGAGGAGGGTCTGAGTGCCCCCTCCGGGCACTCAGCCTGCCCAGCTGCCCACCCACAGGCCGCGGCGCTGGGCACGCCGCACCGCCTCGCAGTCAGCCCCCAGCTCCCCGCCCGTCACATTCGGAGCCAGACTAGACGGCCGCGGGGGCAGGTGGCGCCGTGCCCACGCCCGTAAATTTCTTACTAACTGCGTTTTTCTGGTTATAGAGATAACACATGCCACTGGAGGGAGGTGGGAAATACGGAAAGTTGGGTACGGAGACGAAAATCCGCCATAATTTCACCCCCCACTGGGATATTGTCTGATTCTTCGGACTGTGGATGGACGGACGGACGGATGGACGGATGGACAGTATTCACATTTTCCCCAAGTGGCCACACCCAGCACTAGACGGCTTGGTCAGTTGGCCGGACCCAGCCTCATTTCCCACACTCAGGTGGCGGGCGGGAGGGAGGGGGCTGAAGAAACGCCAGGGCTCCCCACGGCCGACGTCCCAGGGTCCTAATCCTCATGGTTCGAGTGGGCGCGTCCCCCAGCCGCGGCGGCAGCCCACCCCCAGGCTCACCCCCGGGGAGGACTCCCGGCCGCGGCCCAGCTCAGCCCTCAGACGCCGCAAAGGCAGCAGGTGTGTCCGGCCGCCACAGATGGTGAGTAGGGGCCAGGCACAGGCCCAGCGGCCAGCGCGGGGGGCCGAGGCGGCCCCGGCGCCAGACCCTTCCCCGCGCTCCAGCCCGGGGTCGCTGGCCCCTAGGTCGGCGCAGCGGGCCCGGGGGTCGGTTCCCGGCCCAGGCAGGAGGGGAGGACGTGGCCTTCGCAGACAGAGGCCTGACCTTGAGAAGCTGCTGCCCCGGGCCTGCCTCCGGCAGCCGCCCAGCCCTCCCCCAGGCGGGCGCCAAGAAGCTCCTGGGGCCACCCCGGTGTGCTGTCGGGGGCCGCGTGACACCCTCGTCCACTGTCTCCCCAGAAACCGGAACCAGAGGATTTGCAGGCGGTGACTGCCTCGCTCAGAACCGCCCGCAGGGGGCTCGGGCAGGTTCACGTCTTGACACCACCTTGCCCCAGAGGCTGCGTCCTGTAGGGCTGGCTGGGGCCTGGGGCCAGAGAGACCCCGGCCCGGCCCCAGGGGCTGCTTGCCCAGGGGGGCTCAGCTGGACCAGGCGCCTGCCGACCT